GCAATATCCAAGAAATTCCTACTGTCATATCTTATTCGTTCTGGAAGGCTCTGCCAGCAACGCAACCGAAACACCAGACATTCGGCAAAATGCCTTCAAACACAGACTCCAAGCTTTTCAGTCGTCTTCGCCTACTCACACTCCATCGCATACTTTACCAGGAGACGTTCCACAATTGCATCGGTCATCGCGGATCAGCACACCAAGTGGCGGCGCATCGCATGACGACCCTCCGGCGATGGACACGCCAGTGATGGGCACGCCCGTCAGGCCACGCGGTGAGACGGCTCAAGATAGTGGCAATAATCTTCGTTTTCAACATAGTGAAAGCGTTCTTCGCCCTCGTCCACCTATCGCGCTCGCCCCCAGTTATTTGGCTATCATCAGTCCGCGTCCCACGAGCCTCATCTGCGTCCTACTTGGCAATTTCGTGAAAGTCTGCTTCTCGTAGCCTGTACAAGATCGCGGCGTAGACTGCGACGTCCACAATGAAGCGGCTGTAATAGTTCAAGCTTCCGAGGAATGACTGCATCGCCTTCAACTTGGTGAGGAACGGGAGGTTGGCGATTGCGTCGAGCTCCTTCGGGTTCGCTTCCAGACTAGCTGAGGATACCTCGTGCCTTAGATACGCCACCTTGCGTCGACCCCAGTAGCTCTTGGCTACGCTGATCGACAAGTTCCACCGATCACAGACGTCGAGCAGTTTGTCGACACGGTTGCACATGCTATCCCACGAGTCGCCGGTCACAAGTATGTCGTCCACATACGACCTCCGCCCGAGAACTGACGGCTTAGGCTCCGGCTCTCCTTCCTCGAAGACGTCCACGGGGTTCGTCCTATCCTGATCGGGCTTGATGCGCATGTGACTATACAATGCATTGTTGACGATTCGTTCGTATATCTGAGGAGCGTTCATTAACCCGAACGGCATCCTCGTCCACTCAAACAGCCCGAACGGTGTGATGAACGCTGACACCAGCCTTGCTCGCGGGGATATTGATACCACCCAGAAGCCACTAGCCATATCGAGGGAACAGTACCAGAGCGCCTTGTCCAAGTCTTCAAGGAGGTCGTTGATCAACGGCATGGGGTATACCATCAGCCTCGTAAAACTGTTCACTACCTGGGAGTCGATGTAGAGGCGGATGTCAACCCCGTTAGCCTTGCTGGTGACTACGATGGGTGACGCCCAAGGTGAGGTGGAGGTGGTGATGATCATTCCGAAAACAGTCCCTTGATGAGCATTGACAGCTTCTCGCGGAATTGTGGTGCTATCCGTCGACATCGCTGGGCTACTGACTTTGCCGTTCCGACATCAATGTCGCAATTAGCTCCGAAGGCGGGCGGTGGTAAGGCGTTACTAGCTCCGATCAGCTAGTGGCGTCGCTTCCAGATGATGCGACGTAGGCGCTCGCGTTCCTCCGGTGTCGCGTGTAAATCATCTACTTGTATGTCGTCGATGGTGGCTTCCTTCGTGGTATCCTCCACTTCCGGCAGGACAGCCATGTTGTTCTCGATGTCTTCAGGGAAGTTATCTCCGCCTTCATGGTAGCAGACAGCATCGTCCATGTCATCGTCAGCTTGCTCCTTCGGTTCAACTTGTGTCCCACCCAATTCCGTTGATCGAGGCTGTTCTCGATCACCCTTGGTCTCTCCCTTTGGTTCCGTCGTATTGATACGACTTTCTTCCTTCGGTTGAGACCCTGTCGACTCTTCACCCGCGATATCTTGTACAGTGGTCGACTCTTTCGCAGACGCCGACAGGACGATCATCGCCTTCGCGTGTTCTTGTCTACCCGATAAGATCTTTGTCGGCGGTTCGTATTGAGGCCTGTCCACCATTGGTTCTGTCGCAGTTCCGACCACCTCATCCACAGCCTGTTGGTAAGTGGTGGCTTGCAACGCCAGGTTTTGCCATTCAGCGTATCTCCGGGACCCGATCGAGACGAACCCTGGCATCCGCGGCACGTGGTCTCCTGTCAGCCAGATACCCACTCGAGTTTCGCGTGGTAGGGTCACTGATCGTTCCGACACATTTGTTATACGCAGGTACTGCGTACTACCCAGTCTCTTGACCGCAGTTGGCGCCCACTCTTCTCCACAGGTGACCCACAGTTTCTGTCTGTCAGACGCAGATCTGCGGATAGCGATCTCCACCGATCCTGCAACCGGAATTTTGTGGTGTTGATCGAAGGTGATCAACCTTGAGTTCCCGTTGAAGAGCTGGTGGCGTCCGGACAGCTGGAATCTCACTTCGTCCGGGAGACACAGCGACCTGTCGGCCATGTCAAGACGGATTCCCGCCGGTACCATGAAGTCCATCCCCAATATCGCTTCTTGCCCTGACAGTTCTCCGACCAAAGCGTCCAAGTAGTACACGTACGCTCCCGCGAGCGTGATCTTGATCCAGGTACGTCCTTCTGTCATATACGCGTTTTTGCGAACACACTCTTGTTTCTGGCTGTCGTCTATAGCGCATCCGGCCTTACGAGCAAAGGTAGAATCCACAATGGAGACTTCAGCTCCAGAGTCGAAAAGGAGCGTGGCCGTTTCGTTGTTGATCTTGGCGGTTGGCTTGGCTTGCTTGAACCATTGGCCTGGAGGGTGGTACTTCCAATACGCACGCGATTCTCCTGGCAGTAGGTCCAGTTCCATGATCACATCTGATCGAGAATAATCATTCTCCCGCAAACTAGCGACTGTAAAGGTACGCTTCTCGTGCAATTCACATGTATTGTCGATCAGCTTACTAACCTTCTGTGTCCCCCGCTTCTCGACGAATGCATAAATACAGACCTCAGAATGCTCGGCTCGTACCAGATTCCAACCTGACGAGCGTTCTAATTTAGCATCTTCTCGGCATTAGCTGGCAACATTCCCGCGTGCTTGTTCGGGACGTACCACTGACGGATCAAGTTGTAGAACTCCTCCATCGAACACTTTCCGGGTTCATGCATCTCTCCGCATGCTCGGCAGACGAAAAGACAATGATCGGATGGATGCCCTTTCCTGCCGCACTTCAGCCGTTTCCAGCAACCCAGGTTGTCGTGCTTCGTTGATCCGCAGTGCGTACAGTTCTTCTGGGACATTATGGGATGGTCGGCTGCGTCGTCTCTGTGCGTCGGCGTGATCGAGTGGTTTTCTCGGTCTTTAGCTTCCGCCAAGTACACGCGACGGCATTCGTCTTCTTGATCCGTCGTGCTCACATCCGATTCCGACTCACTGCTGTCTTCCACCACGCGGATCGCTCGTACTGCTCCCGCATTCTTCGAGGACGCTGACGTAGGTTTGGGCGCCGCTTTCTGTCGGAATTTGTTTGTTCCAGCATGGGTTTTCCCTTGGCGGGCCTTCGCGCGTTGTCGCGCCCGTAGTGTCTCCTCCAGATCTTCGGCGTCGGTTAACCTCAGCAGAGCCAGCTGATCAGCCAGATCTCGATCATCCAAGGTTTCGATGAAATGCTCGACGTGCCCCCGACGTGTGGCTAGAAGTCCATCCTTGCCCTGGGGCTTAGCTCGCAAGCCTGCCACGTTGGGTCTGTGAAGATAGAGTGACTCGTCCGATCGTTTTTTCG